AATTAACAAATAAAAGAGTAGTGTTTTGTTATTGTTTAAATGAAAGAGATAAAACTTGGTGTGAAGATAAAAAACACTTCATTGACAAATGTTACGCCAAAAGAAAACAATGGCTGATCCTGGTGCGTAGTAGGAATCTTATATTGAAGTTGATGGGAACTCTGATGAAATGCAAGTAGAAAAAGCGTTTTTAACCGAACTTGGATCTAAATATTATCTTAAAGCGGTTGGCAGAAAAAACAACACCAACTCTTAGAAAGAAACTGTTATAAAACAGATGTTGTTTTTTTACCATATTTTTTCGAGTTGTAATAGACAAATTAAGATGGAAAAATACATGTACAGTTAATTTGTTTTTTAAATTTTTTAAGCCTATTGATTGGTTTTCAAATATTATGCCGTCGCATAAACTCTAACAAAGAAGAATGGTTCCACTTTCACATCTTAGCCAGAAGAAGATTGGTCATACAGATAACCAGAAACTTTCTGATAGGCCTATCCCAAATTCCAAAAATGGGTTCACTTTCACATCTTAGCCAGAAGCAGATTGGTTATACAAATAACTAGAAACTTTCTGATTGGCCTGTCCCAAATACCAAAAATGGGGGTCTATTTAATATACTCCATGATCTGAATTACAAACTAACAACTTTCACTAAGGCGTAAACATTATCAATGAAAAACGTAAACCTTGATGTGACTCGGTACAACTTTAAAGTGAGGTTGATCACTGAGTGATTTCTCGAGTGTCCAAAAAAAGCTCCATTCCATCCCAGATTGTGTTCCTTTCAGAGTTGTAATAATATTTTAAAACTTTACTGTTATGTTAGAGACACATTATATCAAAAAAGTGAGATATATGCATTCCGTATATCACAAAAAAAATAAAAAATACCTCACTCACCAAGCAGGCTTTTACAATTTGCGAAGAAGTGAACAGAGACTTACATATGAAATGTCAATTGTTATTCACTAGTACAAATTAAAGTTTAAGGGGCAGCTATCTCCACTCCCGTGCCCTTGTTAAGCCTATTTATTACAATTCTTATTTGGCAGCTCTTCTGGTAGAAGTTATTGCATATAAAAGAAGAATACCGGTTCATACACTCACATCTTTCACAGTGCACACCACAAGAACCACAGCGACACCTACAGAGGAAAGCCAGAGCAGACGACAATCTTGGACTAGGCAGGTTTCGACATTCGCCACCATGCAAACAGTTTGTATTCCTACACGTGATCTGGAAAACAACAACAACATTAAAGTAACCAAACGTTTGTACAGACTAGTAATCAAAATAAGGCTTCTCATTAACTAAAATGTGAATTTATATAATCATTATTGTACTTTTTTGATTAATTGTTGCATTTTAGTATTCATAGGTCGAATTCAATATGTACAAAGTTTATGTGCCAGACAGCAGTGTTAAGTTCGAGAGTGGATGTGGAGACGCCATTTTTCATACTCCTATTTGTCTGGAACAGTAGATTTTGAAGGGTTTTAAAATTTGCTATTTTATCTGCGTGTTGGTTAATCTTATACAATCCACTCACCATTACCTGTAGGAGTCTAACTCTTCTGGACTGGGTACTTGCCGGATCTCAGCATGCAGTAATATAGCCATTAGCATTTCTTTGTTGCAAGTTTTGATGATATAGTATAACAGAGTTGTACTCATGCGACATTTTGATCCAAAGTACAATCATCCCTTTCAGATTTTTGAAGTTCACGAGCCACTTCGGTTCTGTATAATCCATCCAAATGGTGACCTTTCTACCATGGTAGTATTTGATGAAAATAACAACAGCAAGCAGTTCTTTCATCATCATCAGCTGTCAGTGTACAATTAGCAAACACGATTACATGTTCCACTCCAACCTGTAAATTGTGATAAAACTACCCAATTACACTATTACTGGCATCACTGTGCAGCAGGAGTTCACAAACTCACTGGGTATCTGCCAACACTGAAGCTGCAACGAAAGTACGTTTTCACAAGAGGAATTGGGTCTGCATGGTTTTATTCTGTTCATACAAGAAAAATACAAAACCTTAACAGATTGGAGGTGATAAGGCACAGTGCACGTCTTCACCACGCCCAACTTTACACAAATCAGAGAATAGCTAGTTGTTGCGATTGGCAACAAGCCCATCCTTCACACTAAATTATCACTTTAAGACTTTTATACGGGGTGTGCAGGAGAAATAAAATGTATGTTAAGAAAGGGAGGCACCGGTGTTTGCAGGAGCAATAAAATATATGTTAAGAAAGGGAGGCACCGGGGTGTGCAGTAGCAACAAAACGTATGTTAAGAAAGGGAGGCACCGGGGTGCGCAGGAGCACCAAAACGTATGTTAAGAAAGGGAGACACCATGGTGTGCAGGAGCAACAAAACGTATGCTAAGAAAGGGAGGCACCGGGGTGCGCAGGAGCACCAAAACGTATGTTAAGAAAGGGAGACACCATGGTGTGCAGGAGCAACAAAACGTATGCTAAGAAAGGGAGGCACCGGGGTGTGCAGTAGCAACAAAACGTATGTTAAGAAAGGGAGGCACCATAAAAATTTTTGCACACCACTTACTGTGGAGTCGTTACAATGTTACAGTCAATCCCACTATTCATTGATAAATAGTAGCCTAAGAGTTGGCAGTGAGAGGTGTTGACTAGCTGCCTTTTCTCTAGTCCCATGGGGCACAGAGAGTCGGTAGAGCAGCGCACAACTACAATTACAAATTTAAAAATATAGAACTTTGAAAAATTACCATACAAATATTACTACCATGAAGTAATATAGTAACAACATGTATCATGTACACTATATACAAATAGATTAGGGGGGATTTGGAAACCAAACCCCCTGAGCATGTGAGTAAACTCAACGAGTTCTTCAAGCAACAAGTGAAACAACTGAAAGGGTAAAGCAGACTGTTTGAAAAGCAGGTCACTGTTCCTTTAAAAGCCTTGAAAACTTCATTATAAATATAAAGCTCTGAGATCATGCATGGATGGAGAGGTATGGTGAGACCGTCAAGACTATCTTGTGATGTAGAAATGCAAATGGTAACACGCATCCAGAACGGCCAAAAAAGGGGAGGAAGCTTATGAAGAGTTTTTATTTTGACAAGCACTGGAATAGAAGGCTACAGGGAAAGTAATCTTTTTTCATGTTGATATGTTTTTCACCACAAAGTAAGCACTGATGAGGCAGCTACATTTATGAGAAACAAATAAAGGATTCAGAACTAAAGTAAGTGCTCTCGCTCCAGATGTAACATTTACAGCCATAGGCAAACAAATTGCTACAAGATGCTGTGAGAGTTGTGAAATCAAGAGCTTTGAACAGTAGAATGTTTTCCATTCTTTGTGGAGAAATGGTACCCATGTACGACAAGCTTCTGCCACATACAAAGGTACACTGGTCGTTTCGATGAAAGGTACTTAGTCGCATTGTTCAGATTAAACTTGAACTTTGTTTTTGTTAGACTGCAACCTCACACTAGCAGTGTATCTTATGGATGGAAATGGGCTTCCAGAAAGGTGCTAGCTGGCTGATACTTTCGATAACCTCAACGACTTTAACTTGTTACTACAAAGTCGGAGTAGTAATATTTTGCAAACTGAGTGAAAAAGTGTGTGCATTTTGCAAAAACAAACTTGTGGAAAAACCAGTTTGAGACATGAAAACTGTAAAATGTTTCTTTGCTTTAGTGAATTCTTGGGTGAAAATGATTTAAATTATAGTTTAAAGAAAAAAAAACTTCAATCAATTCCAAGAATCGATGGGGGAACACGAGTTGATATGGAATCCAGTTAATGGTAGCATAACTCCCCACCTGCTATTAGAAGCTCAAGAAAAACACATGGAACTACGCAGTGATAAAACTCATCAGACAGAATTCAAGTCAAAATTCTGGATGCTATTTGCAAGGAATACTCTGATCTCTCAAGAAAAGCGATGGAAGTGTTTTTACCTTTCACGTCAACATATCTATATGAGTCAGTGTTTTCTACCCTGACAGTAATTAAAACGAAACAGCGATCTCGTCCGCAGGTAGAGGGTGACCTCCAAACTGCTGCGTCAACAATTCAGTCAAGAATGGACCTCATCTCATCTCAAGCTCATCCTCCACACTAAATTGGGTCCCCCCGTGGGTCAGCGGAAATTTTACGGACTTACAGTGCTAAAATCCGGGGTTCGATTCCAGGCGGTGGGCACAGTAGATAGCCCTATGTAGCTTTGTTCTAAAACAAACACACTAAATTGGTGAGTAAACTGAAACTGTTTGCCTTATGCTATTTACCATTTTAAGACTTATTTGACTTTTATACGGAGTGCTGGGGGCAACAAAACGCAAGTTTAGAAACGGGGATAGCAATAAAACGCATATTAAGAAACGGAGGGAGCAACAAAATGCATGTTTAGGAAGAGAGGCGCCATAAAAAATGTTTGTGCTCTACTTACTATTATATTACTTAAAAAATTAGGGACAGCTAGCGAAAGGTAGGCCTCGAGTAGCTTTGCGCGAAGTTCAAAACAAACAAACAGTTTCTTAGCCACTTTAGGCGACATTAGCTTATTTCTTTCTTATTTTAACAACTCTACCTCTGAGAAGGGGAATTTTCATGTGTTCAAGAATTTTTTAACGTTGTTTGATTTTATTCAATCCTTTTCTTTTTCGTTACCCCTTCTCTTCCAATATAAAATCCAAAATATTGGTTTAATTTTCTGTAAGACAGCCAAAAGAAAAATTACTTTATAACACTATTATAAATGGTTTTAAAATTTGGAGGCGGCATTTTTACCTATAATCTTTCCTGTTATATAATATTAGAGTTCAGAGTTCAACTTACAGGTTTTAGAAACACATCCTCGCTATTCTTTGGCTTCTCTGTATCTGAAACTTCTGTAAGAACACTACACTTACGTAACGACTCTGTGTATTTCCAACCGAAACAGGCGTCTCCCAAGTCCAGGCACAACCATAAACAGCGCATTGCGGGTGAAGCCATTGACCAAAGTGGTGTTTCAGGTGTTTTATTGAACGCACGAAGACGGTAAAAGTAACTAGTAGTGAACACTGGAGACTTGGAAGTGCAGATATTAGCTAACGAAACAAAACTCCAGACAGAGAATACTGTATAATTCATAGTCTTCTGAAAGCTCTTTAAACGTCGGCGAGTGTATTCACTAAAACAAAATTCCGAATACAGTTAACATTTATTTTATCTTATAATTAACACACTTTCGTCAGAAAATGAAGCTGTATTGAAATAATTATGAACAATCTTAATATCTACGTCCGTCAGTGGGAACCAGTTTTCAGTCACTACGTACATCACTTCTGGTAACCGAAACAAAGAAGTGAACGAAGTTTTCATTATTATTTATAATTTCAGGCAATTACAAAAAACAAAAATATTTAGATCTGTAATATTACTTTTACGAGATTTAACAAATTTGCCTACCACTAATGAAATACTGATTTTGGTTTTATCTCGTTTCCTGTTCTGTTTTTTTAATTTTTTGTAGTTTCTCTTTTCTGAACGAACCTTCCTTTCTTACCGCTAGAGGTCGTAACTGTGGTGACTTCTAGAATCACCTGCTTTAGGTTTGTTCCTACCGTTGGTTTGCTGTAGCAGTGTAACATTCATATCACGGAAATTGTTCTGAATAACACAGGAACGTGACGACTTTACGATAATAACTCGTTTAATTGGAGATAATGTTACAACACCAAATACTAAAGTTTAATTCTAAAATCATGCTGCTGAATCCATAATAATTCAACATTTAGCACGCAATGACCAATGGAGTCACGCAAAAACTCTGTCAGCAGTTTTACACATCACGTGCCTGAAGATATTACACCTTTCGTGCAACGAAGGCAGTTTTCATGTTTGTTAGAGATATGTAGTTTGATGACTGGTATAGAGAATGTGTTTATATTAAATTTCACAAATAATACCGAGTAACTAAGCTACAATTTCATAAGATGTATATAAAATTTTAGGAAATTACAGTCTCTGCCAATTTTTTCATGTAATTTGACAGTCGGGCTTGGTGAAACTAATCAGATCCAGTTTTTAATAACGGTTGGAGACGGCTTGAATGGGTAATGAAGAAAACTTTAATATAAGTTTAACATAACAGCAAATGTACAACGTTGTCATCATCAGGTACCTGGAAACGTTGTACATTTGCTGTTAAACTTATATTAAAGTTTTTCTTCATTACCCATTCAAGCCGTCTCCAAGTACCTGATGATGACAAAACCTTGTCGAAACGTTGTAGATTTGCTGTTATGTAAAACTTATATTAAAGTTTTTCTTCATTACCCATTCAAGCCGTCTCCAAGTACCTGATGATGACAAAACCTTGTCGAAACGTTGTAGATTTGCTGTTATGTAAAACTTATATTAAAGTTTTTCTTCATTACCCATTCAAGCCGTCTCCAACCATTATTAGTCTCAAAGTGGGTTCCTCGTCATCGAATTTGAGATCCAGTTTTTGTTTAATTTGTTCTGTTAATATTCATGTCTCTTCTTATAAAGAAGGTAAATTAATGAATAATAAAAAGGTTAAATAAATATTATAGTTAATTCTAAAGTATTAACAAAAATACTGACTTTTGATCAGTTAATTTTAGAATTTGGAATATTTTAAATCCGTCTAAGGACACTTGCTAAATTAGGGTTGTCGACAGCCAACTCAGGCCCCGGTGTCAGCAATATCACCGGGTCTCCCTTTCATTCTGTTTATAAACTTTTGCTGATTTTTCGTTAAAAAAAACTAGGTGACAAATTTCTTCATGAATCCATGAAAAAACAGTAGCCATTTTAGCTCATTAAGTAGTATGTATTTCTAGTGAGCTTTGGAATATCCCACTGCCGGGGCAGCTGCTCCCCCCTCTCATCAGCCCTGGCTTAATTCAGACAGAGACATTAATTTCTATAGCAGGATTCCATCATAGACGTTGTCTACTGTTTCATGGAACAGTCGTATTGGGAAAATTTGGTGAATTGATCTACGACTGTTATACGGAGCACAGATATTTCCTGATTATCTGTTTTTCTGGTTGATCAGCTACAGAGAAGATGTGCTTTGCAAATGCAGTTTTGGAGATTTTCAGGGAGATCTCCCTCTATCTTCAAAGAAAAGGCAGATTCATTTCTTTCGTGAAGAAATTAAGATATGATGCTAAAGTTCATCCATGTTGAACCATTTATCCTGGACTTTTGCTGATCGTGTGAGTTATCCTTACATGAATTCAAATAAAATTTATCTTACTTTTTTTAACTCAACTAACCACAATGCAACAGTACTTTCCACCTGTGCAATCGGTCGTTCTTCTGTTTTATTCAGAAAATATGGGGATTATTTTTGCTCCAGCTTCACATCGAGTCTCGTATCTTTCATTCCACTACTCGACTTGTTTTTCTACATACTAAGTCTACGAATTCTTTAATTGTTTCTGAGATCAGAAAGCTACGTGCTTGGTTTGTCTTAGAATTACCACACTACTATACTTATAGTTACAAAAAAAAATGCAAGTAGAAATTGATTTTTTAAAACATCGGATGAACAATCACCGTCTCCCAAATCCGAAAATTAGGCATATGAACATGTACGTATTTTATATCCTCAGATGCACTTGTGCAGTAAAGGCAGGGATGGTAACCGCAATAACTGGAGGAACGGTAGAAAATTGTACATCTATTGATTCAGCGTGAAATACAAGTTATTTTCACTGAAATTCAGTTTTCTTTTTTATCATTTTGTTTAGCTTTAACAATAACAACCTTTTACTACTTTCGATGACCAGCTCAAACCATCTCTCTGCCTTCATTAATAAAGTGTTTGGTTTTAATTCATCTTAAAACTGACTCTCCTCAATTTCATTCAACCAGTGCCAAATCACCACACTTGTCCTTCCACACATTAGATCTGGAAACCTTTCATTATTGTGGTACTCATCTTCACTGGTTTTGTTTTGGGTAATCGAATAGAATCTGCAATATAACAAAAGGTTCGACACAAAATATATATTTCAGAGTTAAAACGAGTTTTGCTTATTTTGATTGACCTTAGAGCAAAGAAAGAAACTGGATACAATGTAAAACACAGTAAAAATATTATTTATTCAGCATTTAAATTCAATCAAAATTGTACAAGATGAAAAACAGTTCATTTACTGGATCTTTGTTAAATCTCTTAAAACTCCCCTAATAACTTATCAAGAGGCTTATGTCTATCTCAATAGACCTCCATACTTATAGAGCGTTTTCGTTTTATGTGGAGTTTATGGGATTTGGCCAGACTGTGTTCCTTTTGCACCTCCAACTCGTGCCGATTTGACGCGTGGCTGTACTTTTTGGTCGAATCATCGCATATCGTGTAGTAATTACGTTTTCCAGAAACTAAATCACAACTCCAACCAATGACACAGCAACACGTGGATAAACAATCGAGTCATTATTCCTTTGATATAGTCATTTCGCACATATTACTTCTCTCTACTACAACGTCCTTAGTTATGGAAAAAGTTGAGTTTTCTTTTGTTGTTTTTTAATAAACTTTGCCCACTTACTGTCCGCGTTAATTCATTTACTACTTTTTCTACAAAACTGCTCAATTATTACTTTACAAAATTTTTAAGTTAATGCTCAACCAATTAATAACGTCAAATCTTCTGCAAAAAGCCAAATGTAAACGCCTTAATAATAATACTTGGAAAGGAAGATTGCAAACAACCCTGAAGAACATGTAACTTAACCAATAAGAATTTCATATCATACACCAAACTGTAATATAGAGAGTACTAGCTGATTATCATAAGAAATTAAATTAGCTGGAGGCTAAACCAATGCTAGTCAATACACTAAAGCAATTCGTTATTACTGTAAACAATATCTACAAGAACTAAAGAGTAGACGTGAACATTTTTAAAGATTCGTGATATTTTACTAACCCTCTAAACCCATAATCAATAGCAAGATTCGATGACGAGGAACCCACTTTGAGATGATGACAAAACCTTGTCCAAACGTTGTACATTTGCTGTTATGTTAAACTTATATTAAAGTTTTTCTTCATTACCCATTCAAGCCGTCTCCAAGCATCAAGTAGCAAGATTCGATGACGAGGAACCCACTTTGAGATGATGACAAAACCTTGTCCAAACGTTGTACATTTGCTGTTATGTTAAACTTATATTAAAGTTTTTCTTCATTACCCATTCAAGCCGTGTCCAAGCATCAACAGCAAGATTCAATGACGAGGAACCCACTTTGAGATGATGACAAAACCTTGTACATTTGCTGTTATGTTAAACTTATATTAGAGTTTTTCTTCATTACCCATTCAAGCCGTCTCCAAGCATCAATAGCAAGATTACTGTTTAATTTCCCACAGAATGGGATATATTTTGTGCTTAAAATGTGATAGGAAAAATCTCGTTTCTGAGAGGTCGAGTTTACGAGCTTTATCCAAAAAGTCTTGTAATGTTGAACAAATTCTACTGTATCTGTTAAGCAGTGATTAATAAATATTGTAACATAACTTATTTGGAATATTCGTAATTGGATACGGAAAGTTTATAACTTCAAAGTCGAAAGTATCGGTTTTATTGAAAACTAAACTTGAATGTTTGGTTAATGATATTAATATGTGAATCCAGATATTGTGCTCTGATTTTTGGTGAAATAGATTATTTTTCCAGAATGAACTCAATTGGATAAATTTAATCGTTTATGTCAAGAAAACCTCGATAATCAGACATAAGAACGTCATCAATATATCTATAAGCGTAACTGATGTACATAGTTCTGTTATATATATATATATTTAAACTAAGGTTTGTAGACCTGGTGATTAGTGTAGTCGATTCGCGAACTTGTCTGAAATTATCACACGATTGCCTTGCTTTCTGTGTTTCTGAACAAAAAAAATTGTATGGGTTACAACCAGTGACCTACCACCTCAACCCCATTTTAAGGTGTATTGGTTTATATATTGCCTGTTTGAATAGGCTTCTTATTTTTTATTTTAGTTCTGAGTTTGCTTACACCCGTTGGGACAACTTAGATGATGATGCATTATCACTGATTCTCGGTTAGATTTACCTGGTGCATCTGCTCTCCAGGTAGCCATCCTCAATCTAGCAGTGAATGACTAGGAGAAAATCAACACCACCCACCACTATTGGATTACTCTTTACAAACCAACAGTGGAATCGACCGTGACTTATAACGTTCCCACGGCTGAAATGGCATGATCGGTGGCGAGATTCGAAGCCGTGACCTAGAGGTTGCAAGTCGAGCGCCCTAACCACTACGTCGGTCAGAATTTATCAAGAAAGAATGAGTTTAAAATATAAGGCTTGACTGTAAATTTTTATCGGATCTTTCTGGAAACTTCTCCTTACATCTAGCAGCTATTTAGTGTGTTAAACTTTAACAAGTACAAAAAAAGAAAAGTATGAACATAGTTTTTACTTCCCGCCAAGGTGAAAGAGATTGTATTCTCCTACTTATTAAACTTTGTGGGGAAGGGGATAGACTACCACATAGAATTATAAGTACCCATGAATGAAAGCAAAGGGGATCATGTTATATCAAGCATCCTGTACTAGATTTTATCAGGCTGGCCGGGATATAAGAGACATGGCAGTAGTCTTTATGTATGATCAGTTTTCGTGAAAACTGTTTATTATGTGAACCAGATTAAGCAAGAAAAATACAATTATTATTAATTTTATTTAAGTCATTATTTATAAATCAGAGTTCTGTTGGTGTTTATTTAAGATTTCTATATCTCTGAGAATTTGGAAATAAAACCTGAATTATGAACTTTCAAGAATAGATTAACAACAGTAATGATCACTCTCAACACCGCCGATTATAGGGGGACCCTGGGGCTTAAGACCCTTCCAGAAAATTAAAAGGGGAGTTAGCTGCTCCTAGAATGTTGAATATCTGATGATTAATAAATAAATAATTGGTGTTAGAATTAAATAATGTTATCCTATTAATTATTAACTTAAAAGCTTTTCGAAGTATCATTTAATAACATTAAGATAAATATTTCGCTTAAACAAAACTTTCAAAAGTATCACAAAAGGAAATATAAAGTATTAAAACGTTTCCATGGTGATATCAGGAATTAGACAATATCTTTACAATATACCATATATGTTAGCATATATCTTATTGTTGTAACAAACTCATGCCTCTTCCTGTTAACATAAACAATGTATACAATTGTTGTAACAAACTCATGCCTCTTCCTGTTAACATAAACAATGTATACAATCTTGAGATTTAAAAACAAAAAAACTAGGAAGTTCAAGCTTTTATATTTCAAAAAGTAGCATTAAGAGTGAAAAAATAACAACTAAAATTCCTGAATTACACACTGTTGGTTACATACTCATTCCCATATCTCTTTCATAGTCTAAGTAAAATTATCAATAATAATGTATGTCTGATATAAATGGCAAATAATACATTAAATTAGTATTCAATAACTGTTGTTAAGGAATTATTTGGATCAAACACAATACAGTGGGTTGTAATGTAAAAAACAACAACAAACTGTTCATTAAGATTTCAATAAATTACGACAAATGAACTAGTGATTCTGAATATTTGGGATGTTTTTTGTTGATGAAGCTACAATTTTGTTATATAGCTATTTTACATTTTGTTTGTTAGAAGGAAAGCCTAATGATAAAATCAGGAGCATTTCAAGTAGCATTTATGGTCAAACATAATGGTGGCTAGAAACAAGAATTATCACAGTAGACTAAACTTGGGAAGGATTAGTGTTGCAAAATAATTTTAAAAGTTTTCATTTATGTAAGTCTTTTTAACCCTAAACATTTATCCTATGACAACTGAAATCTAAAAACATTTAAAATAGTATTTACAATGAAAAACATGATACAAGTTAGATGAAAGGGGGTAACCATAGTATAAAGTTAATGGAACCAGGTCAGTACTTCATAAAGTCATTTTTTTTTCGTCCATGTAAACCTTTTCAACCCATGAGATAGTTGTTTTCCTAAAGATCATGTTAATCTGATGATTCATGTAATCTAACATGTCTTTGGTCTCGGGAAGATCTGCTCCTAAAGCTTCGTGTAATGTTTCTTCCAAAGCTCCATTCAGTATACCGAAGAATAAGGTGAGAAGAGTTAAGATTATAAATATTATAAAGCAGGTGATGAAGATTGGACCAAAGAGACGATCGGCTTCTTTTATAACCTTGAACTCAATTCTGCCCAAGCTGAAATTGATTAATGAAAATACAGTTTCTACGAAGCTCCTCATCATCTCCACCTTTGTACCAAATGTAAAATAACAGAAGAAAACCATACCAGTCATCACAATAGAGAGTAATAAGAAGAAATTTAGTAGAGGAATCCCTGCCTTGCTGATTGTTCGAGTAGGAACTTGCATGTAAGGACTGAAAGACAACAATTTCCAGAACCTAATCGTTACTAAACAGATGAGAATGGCTTGCACATAAAACAAGGTAGAATCCCAGAAGGTCACATATGTAAAACTTACAAATTTATTTCCAGTTTTTGCATCATTAGCCTTTAAAGTATTTTTAACTTCTAAGCTTCGTTCAAGGTAAAGGAAAACACAGCTAAAACCAAGTAATACCACTGAAAGTTCTTGTAAGTTCCAAAACTTCTTGAAATATCGGAGTCTCAATTTATACAAGTCAGCTGCTCCTTTAACTGCAAATCCAATTAAGAAAATTACACTGGTCACCTCGCATATGGCTACGAAAATTTCAAAATCTGTTGTGTAAAGAAACAGACGTAAAGTGTTAAGGTAACTTCTAGTAAAGACACCACCGGTGGGTGCAAACTCAAAAAACAGTGTCACTTGACAGAACAAGTTGCTGTTCACATTATACGTTGTAAACTCCACTTGAATGGCTTTAGTTTGTTCATCTAGCCAGCCAGCTTCTACTAGCTCAGTGAAAATCCTCCAGGACCATGGCCGAGCTCTTCCTAATTGAGTAACGTAACCACTTCCTGAGTAGTAGGCTAGGAAACCTATAAAAACAAAAATCACAGCAAACATACACGGGCAACTGATACAAGTCATAGGATACATTTTGCATGACACAAAATTTTTTCACGGTAAATGTTGAAACATACGACAAGTTCTTATTTTCATACGAGAAGGATCTTATTCTATAATTATGTAAGAATTATCTTATAAAAACGATTATCAATATTAAAAAAGAAAGCTACAATATTTGTGTATATAAAAAAATGTTTATATTAATTAGTCTTTCTTCTAGAAAAAAAACATGCATCATTTTGTGTTGGAATGTAACCTATTGTTCTCAAAACAATAGGTAACTTTATATTTATCATAATCACATTACATCCTTTGGATAACACTTTCACACCTTATTTGTTTATGCAGTGAGATACAGTTGTGAAGATAAACAGGCCTCCAAATTTCATGCATTATCTGCTTCAGTATCGTACCTTATCAAAATAAAATTCAAAGTTGATTCCTTTTAACTTGCATACACAGGTTTTAAACACTTTTTATGTGTTATTAAATCAGGAGGATGGAAAATCCTAGACGGAAGAAGTCCATAAAAAGAAATACTTCCAAAACGAACCCTTAAAGAAGTTTTATTGAATTACTTAACTGGTAATGATCCTATCATAGTGTTGTGTCAGCGAGGTCACGTGACTAGTATCACGCCACTTCTCTCGAACCTTCGTGAATTATCGGGAGACTACTAGATATGTGTTAGTCTTGTATATATAAGACGTTGACAACGTGACGGGACAACAGTGTAATGAGTAATTGAATGTATGCGGACAAAATATTGTTGGCCACGTGAGATATAGCGTTTGTTATAGCGCGACTGCTGAAATTAAGTGTATCGTAAAGTTGTATTCGGAAAGAATAAACCAGTTTTATTAAGTAAGGACTTGTGTCGCTAAAGTTTCGTCGGAACGAAGTTACGGAAAATCAACTAACGAACTGAGATGTAACAATACATTTGTTGGTAAAAGTATTCAATAAAACCATTTTTCAATTAATATTGCTTTAAATCATAAATTATTCAACCTGTTTTCACATATTACAAAGTTCCTGGAAGACAACAGTCATAGCTGTATAGCTGCCTAATTAGTGGTGTTTCTCATCAAAAAATTCATTTTGTTTCTCGCAGTAGTGCTATCAGGTTGTATTTTTGCTTGTTATCAAGCCTAATAAATTCTGAACATATACATGTGAGATCCATCTCAGTTTTGTTGATGTGGTATTGTCTTTTCTGTAACACCCAAGTAATTACCAAGTACATTACCCAAAAAACCAGAAACCCTGGAATAATAGTTTTATTATAAATAAAACAGTGAGACAAAAAATTTATAGTATAAGTAAAGTAAGTTTCATTTTGCTGAGAAGATGATAATTTTATTTGATTAATTTAATACATAATAATTTTACCTATTCACATATTACTTACTACATATTCTTCCACACCCCTCTGTCACTTTCATCAATCTCCAAGTAAAACAAAAAGTAACACCAAAACTTTACAGAAACTTGTCTTGTTACTTTAAAAACAATCAGAAAAAACTGAGTGTTTGAAAAGTGTGAAGCAAGATAAATGAACAGTGAAATAATAATGAAATTTCATGCACCCAAAAACAAGTTGGACAGAGCACAGCAATATTAGTTGGAAAATTTCAGTCTTGATTAAAGTATCATTGATAGAATGATAGGTTTCTTTTTTAATACACTTAAATACACCAGTTCGATCAATCATATTACTGTAGAGTTATCCTTCTAGACGATTCACGAACTGAATTTTATTACAAAATAATATGTAGCTAGAATATTGTTAAGTTACATAAAAACCAATTAAAATTAATTCAAAACTAACGAGTGAGTTTTATCTCAGTCAACAATGTAGGCCAAAAGATATGAAATAATTGATATGTCTACACGAAATTTAAAACTATTCAATGTGTTGAGCATTTAAAATCTCAGAAAAAGACTTTTTTAATCCTCAGTCACATTTAAACCAGAATTTAGTCAGATACTATAAACTATTTTAACATATAGAAGAGTTTTAAAATGATCCCAATGAATTACGTTTCACAAAATTTAGGAATAGTTGAAAAAAATACTTAATTTTTCCTATAACTCGTCCTCCCACTTGTTAAAATAAATTACAATAGGCTATTAGTTTTTAAACAATTTTTACCTAATGTCTGTTTAATTTACACAATTATTTTCCCAAATTCACGCACATATAAAACAATTAAAAAGTATATAAATAAAAACAATAAGAAAATGAAGTTATATTATTTTCAGTTTGAGCCTACAATTACAAGACAGCAGGCACTATTTTATTGGCTACTTACAAGTTTGTGTTTTAAATCTTAACGTTTTAAAAACGATTTAACAATATAAAATTTATAAAAAATGCATTATAGCTCAATCTTAAACTACTGTTTAAACACCGAAAGCCGCTATTGGGAAACCAATATGCTTAAAAGTTGTTATAAACACAAACAATATTAATACTATTTTTCACATTGATCTTAATGTGTCCATTGTGGCTTGAATGTGGAATTTGTAGTTGATTTAAAGATATTATTAACAGCTTGAAAGGATTTTTCATAATTTTGGAATGATTCTTACTAAAAACAAACTAATTTTTTTCTTGAAAGAGCAGAATTTTTTGTTTGTTTGTAGTTAAGCACAAATCTATCCGTGCTCTGCCCACCCTCGGTATCGAAACCCGGTTTATATTGTTGTAAGTCCGCAGACGTACCACTGTGCCTCTGGGGGGTGAAAGAGCAGAATGTTGATTCTTCTACTACATATTTGAATCATGTGGTAACTTAAAATATTTCCACATATTATTCATTATATTTGTTTATATCTCTGAAATGGCATGACATAAACAGAAAAGATTTGTATATGATAACAAACATCTAAAATACAAGTTGTGTTATATGATGTAAAGTATTTATTATTGTTGCTATTGACTCAGTCTATCAGTTAATTATCATTCTTGTATTACAATTATTTGAATTTCTCTATTAATATTACCATAACATTATTCACTATTCTGTTAAACTAAATAAAACAAGAAACACATAATTTCCATGACATAAAAATAATAAAAAATGTATTACTTTTATGGTTTCAGTTTGTATTTACAATATTTTGGGACAAGTCCCAGTGAATCTATAATATTTTACCTGTTGTAGGTAAACTGGATAATTCTTTGCTGGAATGCCAGATCCAAGGGTTAACTGCTGTTCTCTCTATTTGACTTGTATTATGAGCAATTTTCCATCCAAACAAATAGTCAGTTGTGTCTTCATTGCTCCAGCTGTACGATAAACTATATTTCCCGAGTACAGCTTCCACATAAGAGTTACCATTATGTAAGACTGTGGAAAAGAAATTTTAAAGTTCCTTAACAGATGCAAATTTAAAGAGTTTTAGAGCTGAATAGTGAATAACTCAGATGGAGAACAAAACACAAGAAACAATTTGGAAACCGTATGCAAATTATTTGAAAAAAAAAACATATATATATATACGGTGAACTGAATGTTGAATCAAGTAACGCACAGGTCTCCCAGCAGGAATGGATGTAAACTTGATCAACTTTACTGTACAATACACGCTAATGAATCGCTAAACAAAACTAGACCATGATTTTTCTGTGAATAAAATGCCTTGATGGTTATACTTTATATGTATATATATATGTAAGTGGATTATATTAGATTACATACGTCCAAGATAGACTAAACTTTTTTATGAACCTCCTGGTGCAACTTGTAAGGTAATTCAGTCAACTTTAGTGATTATATTCACGTGTAAACTTTTAATAACTATTGTTCACCAAAATTTGTATAAAAGAATTAGTCTCTTTCTCAACTTGCCACTATTACTACCTTGCTTTTTGTTTGTTTGTAATTAAGTACAAAGCTACACAATGAGCTATCTGTGCTCTGCCCACCATGGGTATTGAAACTCGGTTTCTAGAGTTGTAAGTCCACAGACATCCCATATTAACACTGGGGGGCTAATATCTTGCTTCAATAAAACTAATAAAATTTAGAGTGCATGTAATTAAGCACAAAGCACATGGATATCAAAACCCAGTTTCTAGTATTTTATG